ACATATTTGTTCAAAAGGAGATTCATATTCACCACCCCTATCACTTCTTATCATTTTGATTTTTGGCAGAAGCAGACAGCCCACGTTTCTCATTTTTCTGTAAAAAATGACAGGCTGCAGAAGTTGAAAGGTCAAGGTTGGTAGACATATTTTGTCTATAAAATGAGAGCTTCGGCTCTCATTCTTTTATCACAATCTCAGAGGAAAATATATCTGAGAGCTAGAAAGAAAGAGTGAGGTTTCGCAGACAGGGTATAAGAAAATAGTTTGTGAAGAAAATAAAAAGTGTGAGCGATATTGTAGTGAGGTGAAATATCAAAAGAGGGTTATTTCTTTTGAGTATTGTAGTGGTCTTTGTAGTATTTTTACTCGGGCCTACAAAGTGTAAATTCCTTACTATAGTGATATCAGTTGCTCCTCTCGGGGTCGTGGTTTTTCCCTTATTCAGAAGGGTTTTCCATGTAAAAATCTTGGTAGCATTGTTACTCTTTTATTCTTGTTAATTACCGTATCTCGGTGCTATATTATTATTCCGCTTTTATTACCGTGAATATTATTTTGGTAGGGGGTTTATTCCCAAACATGATTAAAGGAGAAGCAGCCTGCACCACATCAGTGGTAGCGGTGGAGAGCGGAGTTTCTTGAGATGCAACTTTCAATGCATTGTATTATGACAAGTCAGATAAAGGTTTGAACTTGCAATTCAACTGTGCCTTCGTGTCCTAGGCCATGCAATTGAAAAGTACCTGTATACATTTTGTCATTAGCAGCTACATATGTTAGTGCTTACTTCCCTACGCTTGGATGGTGATCTTCCTTTTGTATGCCACACGTTTCTCATAGTTTGGCAATTGGCACAATCCTTTGCCCAATAAAAAGAGTCCTTGCATTTTGTTTATGCAAAGTCAAGTTACTTGGAATGCATGAACAGCACATAATCAGACTCATTAAACGCATTTCTAAATTAATTACATAAACAAGAATGAAGAGAGCGTTCGGACAATCTGTTCTTGGCTCTTCAATTGGTTTGTCAGTTGAGAACAGGGGCGGCCCGACGAATTTCGTGGCCTAAAGCCAAACTTTATAAGGGACTTTAACTTTTTATTTTTTTTATTATTTATTTGAAAATTATTTTTTTAACTTTTCTTAGATACAAAGTTATTAATAATCTTATCTATATATATAAAGGAAGGACGTGAGGAAGGTGATGTGACATCTCTATAATATAGGAATTCTCTTTATCTTTTTTCTCATTTTTTTGAATATTTTCTTTCAATTTTTTCATTTTAACTATTTAAAAAATTCACACCATAACTCACTCACACGGGGTTATGACTTTTCAAGTCCATAACCTCCAACCGTTTAATATATTACTAATAACTCTCTATATATCTCCTGCTTCTCTTCTTTCCCACACCTGACTGTTACCCATTCCATTGAATTTGAAGTAGATTCCATCTTTTATTATTCATATCATCACATTGCTATTTCTTTAGAGATTTACCATTTCCGTTAATATTTCAAATTGTAGTTGTTGTATTTTGGTCTGCTTACTCAGAACTCATTTTGAATATGCAGCTTTTTATGATCGTAATGGAGTATATTTTGCTTTTGTTCCTTAGAAACTATGTTTAGGTTCGTATTTTGTGAATTGAATTTGAAAATTACTGACTTGATTATGTTTGTTATCGTATCTTCTCATAGTTCTACGTTAATTAGAGCTCAGTACTTTAAAGTGAATTCCATCTTCCTATCTTGTGGGTCATTGTTACTTTCTGTTGTTAATTATAATAGTCAGTTTACCCATTTCATTTTTTTCTTCTTCTTTTTATTCTGAGATTATTTTGTATGTTTCTTCCTGTTCTTCTTTTTCTATTAAACATTTGGAATCATTAAGAAGTTATATTTATTTTAATATAAAGAGACAAATTATAGGAAAGAAAACGAAATGTAAGGACAGAAATATTAAATTGAATGAGGCAAATGCAAAGAGTAACCATTGGGAAAGTAAAATAAGAAAATGAATAACAAAGAAAGTAACAGTATGTACAAAACATCAATAGGTTGTTTGAGGGTACTCTTTCCTTGAAATTCCTCTACAGTATGTACAAAACATCAATAGGTTGTTTGAGGGTACTCTTTCCTTGAAATTCCTCTACAGTATGTACAAAACATCAATAGGTTGTTTGAGGGTACTCTTTCCTTGAAATTCCTATACAGTATGTACAAAACATCAATAGGTTGTTTGAGGGTACTCTTTCCTTGAAATTCCTCTATTTTCCTTTCATAAAATCCCTCTATATATATGTTTTGAGTTCTGTTTCTTCTTCTATAACAGGTACATACACGATCTTACTCTTGCCATGATGATTATTATTTCATAACAATTAAGTAGTTGCATGGTTGGTAGAAGCAGCCAGCCAAGTTTCATTCCAAATCCGACAAATGCATAATCACATATAGAATTAGCAAATTAAATAAAAATTTCACCTGAATGGTTCATTAGACGGGAAATAAAACAAGGGGTTTTCGTTTCAGGAGAAATTTCAGTCCCCAAATTAGTTCGTCTTAACTACATTGAGAGAACTTTCTTTTGATATATTGTAACAATCGCGCCACTAACTACCTTCAGTTCGTCCAAAAATATTGAAAGAGAAAAGAGATGTTTCATGACAAGATCTGGTCACTAAAAATTTTTTGAAAATCAGCATTGACAAGGGCTACAATGCTATGACTATCAAACGTAAAATAAAAGTTTAGTGATCAGATTGTGTTTTTTCATGCTATTTGTCAAAATAAATAATAGAATAACGTGAACCCCTCATAACCTATAGGTAGATATAAGGATGATGACAAGAGCTACAAGATCCAGTATGAGGTGCCAATACTTGGGAATGAGCACGTGAAGATCACAGTAAAAGATAGAAATCTTGAGTACAAAAAAGGAAGACTGGAAGAGTATATGAGAAAAACGATCAGATGATGAGTTTTAGTAATTAACAAGTTATGGATACTACAATTACAACATTATACTTGCGCCAAGGTTGATAGATCATGGTTGAGGAGATTAAGATTGAGAACTCTTTTTTTGCTAATTGGAAGCCATTTATTTAAGACAAGAAATAAAAGTTTGAGGTGACAAATAATAAAATATGTCAACTAAACTAATCATGCGATTTTCAAAATGTCATCCACGATCGGTTTGTTGAAAAATTCTAAAATGCTGTGATTTTTGTTTTTGTTTCAAGTGAAAGAGATGGAAAAAAGGAACAAAATAATTATCTACGTTTACTATATATTAGACTTTGAAAATCGTGTATTAGGACCGCGTATATATATGTATCAAAAGGTGAAAGTTTCCTTTTAAGTTCTTTTTTTTATTTCAAAAAATAAAATAAAAAATTGTATGAAAACATGTCAACTAAGTTGTCTTATCTAATAAAAATATTTTATTTGTCGCATCACAAAGATATAGAATTTTAGTTGTATGGATACTCATAAGATCTTATATCTTGATTAAATTATAAAGATTATTTCAAAATTCATTAATCTTTTACAACCGCGCGAAGCGCAGGATATTTGACTAGTTTTCTTATAATCAATAACTCCTAATACATATTTCTCAATTGACAATATAACTAATCCATTTAACCTGTCTTGTGATATGGTTGTTCTTAGATAAGATTTTATCATTTTTAATTTTGAAAACTTCTTTTAGTTGAAGCAATGGTAACATAAGTTATGAACATGATTCCATAAGCAATTTAGGCATTTGCAAAAGAATTAAATTTTTTTATTTGATTAAGTCTATCAATTAAACTGTTATCTTCTAATTGTACTATTTTCCTTAATACTTTTAATTCAGAAAATAAATCTAAACCATCAATATCAAATTAATTATTATGCTTTAAAGGACATTCAAGATTAAAATAATATTTTTTTTAAATTTCCAACATCTAGTGATCTTAGTTTTTACTGCCAAATAGAAAACCAAAAATATTTTCATATGCTTCAAATTGTTCAAATCTATTTTGAAGTGAAAAAATAGTCTTGTCTATTACGTATAAAAGTAATCAACTCTAAAGAACTCTTCGAAAGATTTTGAGATTTCATTATCAACATTCGCATCAAATTGTTACTTCCTATACATTACAAGTTTCTTACGAAATTCGGATTCGATATTCATTTCATGTGCAATTTCGTTAGTAGAAATTATAGCTTCAATTACAAATCTTTTCTCTATATTTGTTAAAGAAAGAAATCAAACATCCTTCTCAAATATCCCCAAGCACGGGATTTTTAAATTAGTTGCTAGTCAGAAGTGGAATTTTGGTGACTGATGATGATGATAATTGTCACTGTAAGGAGGATAGAGGAAAATTGTCAGTCTTGTGGTACAATAGACCTAAGCTAGTGTATCAACTTTCTTCATACTTCATAGCCACTAGTTTGCAATTTTGTCTGTATTGTCATTATCCACGTCTAAGATGTGGACCTATGTTTTCAGCTTTTTTCTTCACGTCTTAAAGAAAGTAGGTTGTCGTTTCATAAAAAATAAAAAATAAAAAAAAATTCACTTTACTTAACTCATAGCATAGCCTTGCTTTATGTAAGGGCCTAATTGGTATTCTATAGTTTCCTGTTTTTTATACAAAGCTTATATTTCATAAATTGGGCACAGGAAGGAACTAGTATTAACTTTAACTTCTAACTCAGTCTGATTTTAAAAATCAGACTAAGTACTAACATCCTTATTCTAGTAGTGGATAAATCGTAATCACTAGTGGAATTAAATATACTTATATCTTCCAGCAAAGTAGTCAAATTAGAGTAAGATGATCCTCCTATTTCAACAGCTTTCCTTGCCATTTCCTTGTACGCTTTAGCTCTGCTTCTGAATCCTTCTGCTTCTTCACCCACCATTACCCTCCTTATTGCCTTTGTTATTTCTTCTTTTTTCACTCCCTCGGTATATGTTTTTTGCCATTTCACAGAACCAACGCCAACCCCAGTTCTCAAGACTTCAGTTACCAACTTTTCATTACAGAATTGTTCCACAAATACAGGCCATGTCACCATTGGCACCCCTGCTGATATTCCTTCCAACGTAGAATTCCATCCACAATGTGTAACAAAAGCTCCCACAGATTCGTGATCAAGAATTAGTACTTGGGGTGCCCATCCTCTTATTATTAATCCTTTTTCTTTCATTCTTTCTTCGAATCCTTTAGGCAACTCATCTTCGTTGTCTTGTACCTCTTTGTCTTTTCTAATAACCCAAATAAATTCTTGTCTAGAAGCTTCAATTCCCATAGCTAGTTCTCGCATTTGTAATGCGGTGAAATTTGCTATGCTCCCAAAGCAAATGTAAATAATGGAACTTGATTTTTTTGAATCAAGCCATTTCATGCAGTCGTGTTTATCGATAGAGGATTGCTTCCCCCTTTCAGCTTTATCTTCAATGTCCCTATTGCACAATGAAAGCGGGCCAATAGCCCAAGCTTTTCTACCTAGAACCTTGGTATAATGTTCAACATAATCTTGTTCAAGCTCGTAGAAGCTGTTGAAGATAACTCCATAGCCCTTCAAGCCCGATTCCCTGACTGTTTTTACCATCAGGGGAATATTTTTCTCTTCCTCAATTCGATCAAACGGTGATAACTGTGATTTAGTCAGCTTGATCTGGTGAGGTAAATTCGGTACAACAAAAGATTCAGAATCAGAGGCGACATTCATAAAAGGCTTATGAAGCCTGATGCTCTCCCCAGCACAAAGGGCAAAGAAGCTTGTGCCATGAATAGCCAATCTTGGAATGTTAAATTTGGCTGCAGTATCAATTGTCCAAGGAAAGAATATATCAGAAACAAGACAATTGGGACGACATTCTTGAATAAGGTGCTCTAGTGGTTCTTGCATCATAACTGTAGCCTTGAAGAAGTTTAGGAGCAAGTCATCGGAAGGTATGAGATCGAGGCGCTCGCATTCTTCATGCAAGCCGTGTTCAACAGCTTGGAATTTGATCAAACGGATGTCAATTTCGATTCCTAAATTCTTGTTTCTTTGAATTGCTTTTGAGAAAACAGATTCATTGAGAGGAGTGGTGATTATGGTGGCCTTAACACCACGCAAAGCGACAAGCTTGGCCATATCAAGCGTAGGAATCATGTGACCATGAGCCATCATGGGAAAGAAGAAGAAATGGAGCTGACTCATATGTGAAAAATCTGGAAAAAAGAAGTTGCAGCCAAAAACAAAAAGCAGAAGAAACCTAAGTAAGAGTTCAGTTCAGTTAGTTGCCAGAGTTTTCAATTCACTTCTACTTGAAATTGTAAAGCAAAAATCAGAGTTAAAATGCATCTCTCCGCCATTCTTTGCCCTTCAGTTGGTTAGTCTGTTGAGAACATGGAAATGCCATGTTTGTTTTTTTAATCGGGAAAATGTTTATTTTACGCAATTTGGGCATGCAATGCAAAGGAACTAACTGTTACACCCCAAGTTTTCATACGTGAGAGTACATCGTAAGTCATTGATGTAAGCTCGGAAATGAGATTCTATTTGGAAGCAAATAAAGTAAGTTAATCATGTTACCTTGGAGGTTACAAATATTTAAGATCATGAATAACGAGTACCAAGAGGGTTGGAAATCTTAGAAGCTAAACCAATTGAAGAAAATAAGTTTCGTC